TTCTTCTCCCTTTTCTTTCTTTCTTTCTTTCTTTCTTTCTTTCTTTCTTTCTTTCTTCCTTCCTTCCTTCCTTCCTTCCTTCCTTCCTTCCCCATTTGCTACTTTTTTCATTTTAACTTTTTGAGTCATAACTGACATATACAATTGTATGATATTTAAAGTGTATGTCACAGTGATTTGGTATATGTATATATTGTGAAAAGAGTCCCCCAATCTGGTTTTTTTTTTAACACATCTGTCAGCTCATACATTTATTTTGTGTGTGTGTGCGTGTGCGTGCGTGTGTGTGCGTGCACGAACATTTAAGTTTTACCCTTAGCAAATTTCAGTGTTATCACCTATAGTCAGCATGTTTACATTATAATCTGAGACCTTACTCCTCTTATAACTGAAAGTTTGTGCCATTTTTCCAACCTCTCCCTATTTTCCCTGCCTCAGAAACCCACTTTCGACTGGCTTAGGCAAAACAGATAATTGGAAGATGTATTCGAAAAATATTATAGGAATTTACAGAATCAAAGGAAGACTAGAGAATGGCTAGACTTTGCCAAATGAAAAAAACCTTTTTGTTGGTAGCACCAGATCTCCTATTTCTAGCTCTCAAGAATTTGGAGATTGTTCTCCCTAGATTTGATTTAAATAATTGGAGGAGGTCCTCTGATTGACTGAGCTTGAGTTACGTGCTTACTCCTGAGCCCAACCTTCTAGCTAGGAATATGGAACCCTCTGATAGGCCAGGGTTGGATCACATGTTTCTCCCTTTGGACAATGCCTGTGATCAGAGAGCATGTGACGGAGAATCAGTTATTTATAATTTTTACACAAAGTGGATTTTACATCCCTAATTATTTAGAAAAAGGTCATAGCATATGTTTTTCTTCAGAATCCTGAGTTATTGACTCAGTGATATCTATGTTTCACAAATGTTGTCTCCTTCAAAGTTATAATTTAGTTTAGTTATTCTATGTGTTATATTGGCCAAGCTCGCTTTGAATCACTATTTTGTTAAGTGGATTTCTCTTAGCTCATCCAATACTCTTCCAAAGAACTGAAAAGAAAAAAAATCCCCTACAATTTCTCCAGGATAAGAATTTGATGGGCATTCAGCAATCTGAAATACTGTGTGTTCATACTAACTTCATTCTTACTGCCATCACCCTATTGCCTGAGTTGGAGAAAACTTGTCTGCCATTTCTCACAAGGACATTTTGTGGGTGGAGGACTCAGTTACCACTTTGTTTGCTTATCACATCACTTGATTTATCTGAGGGTAGAAGGAGTGAGGTAGAAGGTTTGACAGGCAGTGACAGCTTGGCCAGTCAGGCTCAAATACCACTGGATGAGGATAAACCCTTAGCCAAAGAGACCTTCCAAATACCATCAAAAGGCAGGAATAAACCATGCAGACAGGAATAAGGCTCCCATCCAAACATTACAGAACCTCTGTCACACTTGAACAAACTCAAAACACACACGCGTATATGGATATATCCTTTCTCTTTATTACTGGTAACCAGAGAGCTAAGGGTATAAGTTTAGCATCACACAGACTCAAGTGTTGACAACTTATTTTTACAGGGCAGCCTTGAGAAATCCAACAGAGGTAAACCAAAGGAGGGGGAAAATCATAAAGGAGGTGGGGGCGCATAATTTAATCCTTGCTATTGGCACTCACTGGCTTTTAGAACTCACTCCCTCCCACCCCATTTTCCACTATAAGTTTTTTTTTTTTTTCTGATAAAAAAAGAATAAAAACAGCACCGGCTGAAAGGGATACTGCAATTCTGTGTGTGTCGAGGTGCGGGGAGGATTTGGATTAACGTCTCAGGCAATGATCTTGGGGAGCATTGGAGAGTGCTGGAGAAGCAGCGTGCTGTTGATTTCTTCGAGGTCACCTCTTTCTGATGACGGAAGCACACAGGCTGTGTTGGTAATGGCCTAGAGCATGAACCTCCAGGCTTTCTGTCAAGACGAATTCAGTGAACTGGTTTAGGATTTGCCTTGCCTATTACAACAATCATAACCTGTTTTGGCTTCCCATGGCCAGCTCAGAACTGTGGAAAGAGCACTGAACTTGGAGTTCAAAATCTGGACCAATTCCTTGTGTTTAAAAAAATTTTTTTTTTAATGTTTATTTATTTGAGACGGAGGCAGAGTGCGGGTGGGGGAGGGGCAGAGAGAGAGAGGGAGACACAGGTTCTGAAACAGGCTCCAGGCTCTGAGCTGTCAGTACAGAGCCCGACTCGGGGCTCGAACCCACGAACTGTGAGATCATGACCTGAGCCGAAGTCGGACACCTAACCAACTGAGCCACCTGGGTGCCCCACCTTGTTTTGTTTTTTATTGGCCACTGACTTAAGATCTGGGGAGCCTTACTCCCCTTCTCTGTAAAATCAAGGGAATAATAGCCTCTTTCATGTAATCACTGGAATTGGGGGCAGCCGTGCACAGGAAATCACTTTTATGATGTCTGGAGCTTTATAAATGCAGGTGGTTATTGTTACTATTTGTGGCCTGTTCCTTTATGTCAGTTCCAACTCTGATAAGAAGATATTTAGCAGCAACTTCAGCTGAAACTCTGCCAGAACCCCTTATCTTTTGTTTCTCTGGGGTAAATGATTTTCTATATTACACCTAAAACATCTAGAAACACAGGAGAGCATTCAGATTGTGAGAATGGGCAAACCCCCTAGGGAGGTGAGGTAGGAGTGTGTTACTTCCCACACATCGGACAAGAAATTTGTTGGTTTATTCCAGGAGTTCTTAACCGGGGAGGATTTTGACCTCCCTCACCCAGTGCCCCTTTGGTAATGTTTGGAGACATTTGTAATCGACAAGGCTTAAGAGCTGCTCCTGGTAGAGGTCAGGGACACTGCTAGATATTCTGTAACACGCAGGACAGCACCTTATAACCAAGAATGATCCAGTCCAAAATGTCAATAGTGCTGAGGTTGAGAAACCTTCCTGTATTACGAGGAGACATTTTTTTTTTCTTTTTAAAGTTTATTCATTTATTTTGAGAGAGAGAGAGAGAGAGCGCGCGCACAAGCAGAGGAGGGGCAGAGAGAGAGGGAGAGAATCCCAAGCAGGACCCATGCTGTCAGTGCAGAGCCCGACATGGGGATCCATTCAGGAAGTGTGAGATCTTGACCTGAGCCTAAATCAAAGTTGGAAGCCCAACCTACTGAGCCACTCAGGCACCCAGACATTCTCCTTCCTTAGGATTCCTAGAAGGAAAGGTTTTGTCAGTTGGCAAGCTTCTTGAAGTCAGTGGTGACAACCATGTCCCTATTGTATTCCCTATTTTCCTATCATCTCTGCTATAAAATACTTACTTTTTTAAATGATAGCCTAGGGGCGCCTGGGTGGCTCAGTCGGTTGACGTCCGACTTTGGCTCAGGTCACGATCTTGCGGTCCGTGAGTTCGAGCCCCGCGTCAGGCTCTGGGCTGATGGCCCAGAGCCTGGAGCCTGCTTCGATTCTGTGTCTCCCTC